GAAAACATGGATGAAATAAGAAACATGAAACAAATAAAATAAAATACATACAAGCAGAACACAGCTAAATGTATCAAAAGCATGTCTATGTAATATTAGAATTTTCTCAGACAATGAATTTTGGCTTTTCTTTTTTTCCCTGTAAGAGGTTTTTATTTAAATAGAATTTTTGGACAAAAAAAAACGCAATATATCGGGATATATCGTATCGTGAACCCTCTGTCATGATATGTATCGTATCACCAAATTCTTGCCAATACACAGCCCTACTGAACTGTGAAAAAAAAGTAAATAAATAAACAAAAAATAGATATAAAAAAGTCTGATTTCTTTCCTTTAAATATGAGCTGTGGTTTGCCAACCTCTGATCTAAACGTACAACAGAAACCTGCTTGGACTCGTACGACACGAGATCTATAAGTTTGGGTTTGTTTGTGCGTTCCCTGTTTTACGCCACACATCATGGCGGCCCTGAACTGTTTCATTTTGTCCCGAAGCATCAACAGACAGCTGTGCTTTGAGGCTGAAGGTCAGCGTGGACCACCTCACCTTCCAGAGCTTCTCTCAGAGGCTCCATGAAGCGCTGGAACTCCATCTCCTCCATGGCAGCCAGCACGTCTCCTGCATTCAGAGTTTTCCTTTTGGCCTTCATGGCGAAGTTATTCGCACTGGAAACAACAGAACACAGATTTCTTTATTTATTTTACGAACGTTCAGATCTTCTCGCGTCTGAAACGTGCTAACAAAACAAACGGACGGCTCAGACGCTCACCAGGAGGTGGCGTACAGGACGAAGACGCTGGCCGCCTGCGAGATGGCTCGGCGAGCCTCCTTGGACACGTTCACCCCGTCTGGGAGCTGCGAGGAGCAAACGGTGCGGAGGAGTTATCTCAGAGCTGCAGCGTGGAGACACTACTGCTCTTTTTATCCTGACTCACACAGAGCTGTCCACAGACACAAACTGCCAACCGTTCGTTACAGAACTGACACTTCAGCTCTTTCTCTTATTCAGCTGCTAATACAGTTAGCTAAATTAGTCATGTGCAGATCGATACTGAAATATCGATACTACTGATACCAGAACTTTGTTTTAGAATCGATACTAAAATCAAAATATGGATACTTTGATACTTTAGTTATTTCACATAATGTTTAGCATTAACAGGAAAATAAMTAAACTATTAAATCTTGTCTAAATCATGAGGTTGGAGGAACTACTTTTTCTTCCRCTTGAGTAACGCATCAGCAMAGTGGCCTGTGTTCAGGCAGTCCCTCAGTAGATGTACGGCAGGTCATTTTAACATAAAATCTGTTTCATCTGACTGTCTGTAATTAGATTCTAGACGAGGGGTTCCCAAACTTTTTCCTGCCATGTCCCCACAAACAGCATGAGCTCCAGACAGGGACCTTCCTGCAAACACACAAACAATGCTACAAAACACACAAAGTAACAACTTTTAGAATACTTTTTCTCACTTTTATTCACTATTCAAAAATGTTTTTTCTTCAGAATAAGAATTTAAAATTGTGCTAAACAAATGTATGGTTAGGGTTAGAAAGACGTTTAAATTAAATAAATTACTAAGTCATGTATTAATTACAGAGCGGTGATTTGAAAAACACTAGTTTTTAAGATTTACCAGACACATTATGTGTGTYATCACAAAGTACCAGTATCGGATCAGTACCGCCGATACCAGACACATTTTACTTGGCATCAGTAACAGAAAGATAACTGGCGGTATGGAACATCACYAACAAAGTATCTCAAAGCTTAAACCTGCTCTACTGGGTAAAATACTGGGTTTTATCACCATGAGTACTTTATATGTGGGTCCTTTGAAGGAAATGTCCACAAAGTTAATATTTGAAGCATTTCTCTGAGCCGAACCAACGACTAGCAATGATTTTAGCTGTTTAGACTTGATTTTTGCTGCTTTCAATACCAGCTGGGAAATCCTGCTCTCCAAATACAGCTGAGATTTCCTTTATTAAATGACATGAAAAAAATCGTTATTACGATTCACTAAAAATAAGATTCAACACTTTTCCTCTGGGTCTTTCCGATTAGCCGAACAAATGTGGACCTGCTCGAATCAGGATGATCCTGGTGTCAAAATGTAAATCTGAAAGTTTTCTCTGTTATTTGGATCAAACAAACACGGCTTCRTTATGATTTCATGTGATTGTGGACATGTGGCCGTGTGCTTTCTTTTTTTATGTGTTGCATGTTTTCTATGATTTTTTCTTGTTTTGTTTTGAGGTGACGCTGCCACTCCCAGTTGGAGACGCCCCAGTTGCAGCGCAGGTGTTTCCAATTAGTTTAGCAGTGTGCAACGGGACAAGGACGCTAAAAGGGGCAGCTGTGGCTTTTTTTCAGAGAACGAGCCGTAGCGAGGGGACGCAGAAGCAGCAGGCGGCAGGACTGAAAGACTGAGGGTTGAGCGTCGCCGCGTCTTCACCTCTGGATCGCTGCCGGAAGGAGAACAACTGGTGTCGGAGCACGAGGGCTGGATCGCTGCCGGAAGGAGAACAACTGGTGTCGGAGCACGAGGGCTGGATCGCTGCCGGAAGGAGGACAACCGGCGTCGGAGCACGAGGGCTGGATCGCTGCCGGAAGGAGAACAACTGGTGTCGGAGCACGAG